AATAGTTACCCACACTGGTCCCCACAACCTTGCATAATATCCCTTCACACCACTGGTACTACTTTGTGATCCAGCACCTTGATATTTACAAGGGTTTGCTGAGATGCAGAATCTATCACAATGTTGGTAATATTCTTCCTACACTGGCTCCTCAAATGTCCGTACTTTCCACAGTTCCAACAACCTTTCTGGATACCAGCCTTTCCTGCTGTGGCACCTCCCCTGTGTTGAAGTTGCCAGCACTCTGTCACGTAGACACTATGTGTGCTTGCCATTTTACACTTAGCTGTTGGGACTTTCACGATAGGGGTTGGTGGGCGTCTCTCAGCACCAACCACTACTGGTTTCCCGAAGCTGACTTATTGGTTGTATTCTTCTTGCACTGGCTCCTCATATGTCCTTGCTCTCTACAGATCCAACAACCTTTCTGGGTAGCAGCATTTCCTGCTGTGGCATCTCCCCTGTGTTGAAGTTGCCAGCATTGAGCTTTCTTGTGCCCAGGTTTATTACAGTGCCAGCAGAGTCCCTCAAATTTCTCTGAAAGCTGCCCTTTTCTGGCCTTGAATAATGATTACTGTACCAACCTCGGTACCTTTGTGCTGGACTTAACATAGGATTCAAATTCAAGAGCTCTGGCCATTGCATCCTGCATGGTAGAGGGGTGTGCTTGCTTCACTTGTATCTTTAGTTGTGGACTGTCCAAGGCATCTACGAACTGATTCCTCAGCAACAACTTGAGGAGATCGGGTGGTGCAGTTGGGTAGGCCTTGTGTGCCATACTTTCCAAGTCCTGTGCCAGCTCTTGCAGGCTCTCCCCATTAGCACGGACTCTCGTCCTAAATCTAGCCCTGTAGACTTCGGACTGATTTTGAGTTCCATACCTGAGTTCTAGAGCCGCTACCAGTGCTCTATAGTTGTGCCTGTCGTCTGCTGACAACTGTCCAAGTATTTCCAGTGGTTGTCCCTTCAAGATCGTTGCCAGATATACTGCTTTCTGCTCCTCTGTCCATCCATTCATCTCTGCCAGAAGCTCAAATTGTGCTCTATATGCTTCCCACGGTGCCTTTCCATCGAATTCCTGTGGCTTCCTTCTTACAAGATCACCCCTATTGCTGACATTCATATCTGGGATGTGACTTCTAACGGGACTGAAGGTGTCAGCATTAGGGTTTAGGGCCCGGCATTGCCAGGTGGTTAAGGCGCTCGACTCGCAATCTGAGGGTCGCGGGTTCGAATCCCCATCCCATGAAACACGCTCGTCCTTTCAGCCGTGAGGGCGTCATAATGTGACAGTCAATCCCACTATTCGTTGGTAAGAGAGTAGCCCAAGAGTTGGCGGTGGGTGGTGATGACTAGCTGCCTTCCCTCTAGTCTTACACTGCTAAATTAGGGAAGGCTAACGCAGATAGCCCTCGTGCAGCTTTGCGCGAAATTCAAACAAACAAACATTAGGGTTTAGCTGTGGGGTCTGAAAGGGGATTCTCGTTGTCTGGGGCTGATTAAGTCGATGGTTAATGTATCCACCTTGTGTAAAAGACAATAAATCATCCTTTAATGTATTTAATTTGCTTTGAAATTTATTAATGTTTTCCATTTGTACTTCTTGTTTCCTTTCTTGTTCCAGTTGCCACTGCTGTAGTCTCTCTTCTTGTTTATGTTCTCGTTCTTCTTGTTTCTTTTCTTTTTCCTCCAACAGCTGTTGTAATCTCTTTTGTTGATTTTACTGTTCGAGCTGACACTGTTGCAAGTTTTCTTGCCACTGCTGTTGTCTCTCTTCTTGTTTCTTTTCTTTTTCCTCCAACAACTGCTGAAATCTCTCTTCTTGTTTCTTTTCTTTTTCCCCCAACAACTGCTGTAATCTCTCTTTTTGTTTCTTTTCTCGTTCTTCTTGTTTCTTTTGCTGTTCTTGTATTGCTGCCATCAAATCTGCTAAGTTGTACTTTGATTTGCCGCTTCTCGTTTCCATCTTCTTTTTTTATTCTTTTATTTTGTTGTCCCACTCTCTGACACCAATTTGTTACGTCTTTGGTAGTTAGTTAATTTTCTGTAAAAAATATTTCCAAAGTAACTTTAGCGATACAAGTCCTTTCTTAAATAAAACTAGTTTATTCTTTCTCAATACAACTTTGCAATACACTGAATTTCCACAGTCACGCTATAACGTAAACAAACGCTATATTTCATAACGAACGAACGATTCACGCGCTTGGCCCAATTCTCGTCTGTATCTCTGTCTGCAATTCAATTCCGATTGTTGCCGTCACTTCTTGGCGGTCTTATATACAAGAATACCGCATATCTAGCAAACACTCGAGGCTTCACGAAGGAACATGATATTTCTAGAAGCGCATGACGTGTTACTAGCGTTACGTGACCTCCGCTGTCGTAACACTATTTTACATGCCTCTAATATTTAATCCGCAATGTAAAAATTAAGACGAATGTGTATTTTTTTTTAAATCTGC